CCCCCCATGGCCCTGTAGAGGGCGGTGCATGGTGCCGGGGACTACTACTCCCAACATGGCCCTGTAGGGCAGAGGTGTCACTGTGGTGCTTCAGCTGTTGCAGAACTACAAGTCCCATCATTTTTGAGCCTCTGGGAGTCATGCTTGTAACTGTCAGCCTTGCGATGCCTCATGGGACTTGTAGTTCTGCAGCAGTTTGGGGACACCCCTGCCATAGGGGGCGCTGTCTGGTAGTTAGGCCTTATGGGTGGATAGACTACAATTCCCAGCATGATCTATAGAAGGCAATGTATGCTGCTTAGGACTGCAACTCCCACCATGGCCCTATAGGGGGCATTGTCTGGTGTTGAGGCTTTGTAGGTGGATGGACTATAATGCCCAGCATCACCTGTGGAGAGGGTATGGCTTACTGAACTTTGTTCTTGGGGACAACAAATTCCCAGCATGGTCTGGAGGGGTGATGTATATAGGATGCTGGGTGTTATAGTCCATCCACCTACAAAGCCTCAATACCAGACAGTGCCCTCCTATAGGGCCATGGTGAGGGGAGGTGGCATACCTTGTATCATACTAGGCTATGGATGGACTACAACCCCCAGCATGGTGGGAGGAGGCATACTTTATACTAGGCTATTGATGGACTACAACCCCCAGCATGGTGGGAGGAGGCATACCTTGTATCATACTAGGCTATGGATGGACTAAAACCCCCAGCATGGTGGGAGGAGGCGGCATACTGTGTCATACTAGGCTATGGATGGACTACAACCCCCAGCATGGTGGGAGGAGGCATACCTTGTATCATACTAGGCTATGGATGGACTACAACCCCCAGCATGGTGGGAGGAGGCATACCTTGTATCATACTAGGCTATGGATGGACTACAACCCCCAGCATGGTGGGAGGAGGCATACCTTGTATCATACTAGGCTATGGATGGACTACCTCCCCCAGCATGGTGAGGGGAGGCGGCATACCCTGTATCATACTAGGCTATGGATGGACTACAACCCCCAGCATGGTCTGGAGGGGTTTGTATATACAATTATAACCTCTCCTATGGTGTAAGTCTGAGCTATGGATGGACTACAACTCCCAGCATGGTGGGAGGAGATGCTGGATTCTGTATCATGCTGGGCTGTGGATGGACTACAACCCCTAGCAGCTCACACTGCATTACACTGGAACCTCCTGGTGATCTGGGATGAGTGGACTCTTCCTGGTGTTTGGATGGCTCTACAGGAAGGTGGCCATCATGGGGTGGGGGGGTGGTATACAGTTGTAGTCATTCCCATATGAGGGGATCACTTGTAGGAGGAAGGACTACAACTCTCAGCAGGGTATAACCTCCCTATAATGTATAGTGACCACCTTCCTGTAGGTCCCACCATTGTCTTGTCAGGGGTATAATGAATGGACGGTCCCTCTGGTTATGTACATCGGTGGGACTACAACTCCCAGTATGTTCTGTGGAGGGTGAGCCATGTTCACAATGGATTGGGACTTCCTGGTTTAGGTAATCTGTCCTCTTTGGGGGGGGGGGGTCCTCGTTCTTGGAATGGTCTGTACTCTGCATTACACCGGCCATATCTCTAGGGAGGTACTACAACCCCCAGCCCAGCCAGTGGTGGAATGTATCCTCTCGTGGTCTATAGATGACGTATACTGGGCTCTGTGGGCTCACATGACCCGGCTCCCTCCGGTCCTCATTGTCCCCGATGGTTCTGGGCTCTCGGTGTCAGTCCTGCAGGGGTTACACAATGTGCATTCGTCAGCGGGATGACTAAGCCGGGGGATGGTTATCGCTGGGCTCCAGCCGGGGGAGGGTGGGGGTCCTGTGTAACCCGGCCTGTCTCAGGTGTCCGCCCAATGTTCTATGCCTGTGTGACATCACTCACACGCTGTCATACATTCCCGTCTCCGCTCCACCCCTGGAAACTGTCCTCATTAGTCTGTTAACTCCTCGTGTGCAGTCGGCCTGTGGTGGGTGTACATCAAGGCTTCCCGCTGCTACTGGGGCCCCTCAGGGTTTGGGGATCAGATTCCAGGGAGGTCATACACTGCCAATAGGGGTCCTGGATCAGATCTCAGGGAGGCCATACTGCTGTTAACCCCCATATGTCCTAGATGAGATCCCAGGGAGGCCATACAGTGCCACTGAACCCCAAGGATCTTGGACAAGATCCCATGGAGGCCATACAATGTCACCCAGCTGCAGAGGTCCCGGATCAGATATCAGAGAGGCCATACAGTGTTATAGGGCCCCAGGCGTCTTGGATCAGATCTCAGGGAGGCAATACACAGCCATTGGGTCCTTGATCGGATCTTGCGGAGACCATACATTGCCCATAGGGCCCCATTGGTCCTGGATTTGGTCTCAGGACAGCCACAGGATCCTGGGCCAGATCTTGGGGAGGCCATGCGCTGCCATGGGGTCCTGGCTCGAACCTGTGGGGGGCCATATGCTGCCATGGGGTCCTGGATCGAACCTCAGGGAGGCCATACGCTGCCATGGGGTCCTGGATCGAACCTCAGGGAGGCCATACGCTGCCATGGGGTCCTGGATCGAACCTCAGGGAGGCCATACGCTGCCATGGGGTCCTGGATCGAACCTCAGGGAGGCCATACGCTGCCATGGGGTCCTGGATCGAACCTCAGGGAGGCCATACGCTGCCATGGGGTCCTGGATCGAACCTCAGGGAGGCCATACGCTGCCATGGGGTCCTGGATCGAACCTCAGGGAGGCCATACGCTGCCATGGGGTCCTGGATCGAACCTCAGGGAGGCCATACGCTGCCATGGGGTCCTGGATCGAACCTCAGGGAGGCCATACGCTGCTCTAAGTGTGCTGTGTTCCTTCTCTGTTCAGTAATGTTTCTGGTTGCCGTACCAGTTACTCAAACCTTCCTTTGAGATCTCGGAACAGGCCAAGTTTTCCAGAATGTGGTGTAAAGTGGGTGAACCTGTCTTACTGAAAAATTCCTGAAGATGTCTGGTTGATGTGAGCAACTCCCATAGTTCTAGGATGTGCAATCAGGTTTGGGATGGAGGAGCTGATCTTCATCATTTTAGGCTATAGCTGGCTGTGTTTGCCATCTTGTAGTCCTTTTATCTAGTAATGTCCTTCACTGACACCCACAGCCCTTAATTGTATCACTCTACATCCTGGTAGTAATTGTATGTCCCCCATCTCATAATGCGATGGTCTGAGCACTCAGCAGCCCCCAAAATTCTAGAACTTCAGAAACTGTAGGTGCAGATCTAGTGCTAGACGTTGGGTGGCCTAGCATTAAATATCTTGTGTTTAAAATGTTTAGTGTATGTGATCAAAGCTACTGCAGTTGCCTTTTAAAGTGGACCTGTTCTAGAAACACAGGAGGTGTCATTTCAGGGGCCATTAGAATACCTTGAAGTCTGATGGTTGCTGTCATGTCAGCTACCTAACTGTTCATGCTTTCTTGCTTGGGTGAGTTTTGGTGTCCTTCAGAGGTTCAGTGGTGACTGGTTCCCTCCATAGGATGTTGACTGGGTTCCTTCATTGACTGATTCTGAGTTCCTCCATTGGTTCAGTGGAGACTGGCTCTTTGGATTCCTCCATGGGTTTAGTGGTGACTGGTTCTCCTTTGGGCTCCTTCGTAGGCCCAGTGGTGGCTGGTTCTCCTTTGGGCTCCTTCGTAGGCCCAGTGGTGGCTGGTTCTCCTTTGGGCTCCTTCGTAGGCCCAGTGGTGGCTGGTTCTCCTTTGGGCTCCTTCGTAGGCCCAGTGGTGGCTGGTTCTCCTTTGGGCTCCTTCGTAGGCCCAGTGGTGGCTGGTTCTCCTTTGGGCTCCTTCGTAGGCCCAGTGGTGGCTGGTTCTCCTTTGGGCTCCTTCGTAGGCCCAGTGGTGGCTGGTTCTCCTTTGGGCTCCTTCGTAGGCCCAGTGGTGGCTGGTTCTCCTTTGGGCTCCTCCGTAGGCCCAGTGGTGGCTGGTTCTCCTTTGGGCTCCTCCGTAGGCCCAGTGGTGGCTGGTTCTCCTTTGGGCTCCTCCGTAGGCCCAGTGGTGGCTGGTTCTCCTTTGGGCTCCTCCGTAGGCCCAGTGGTGGCTGGTTCTCCTTTGGGCTCCTCCGTAGGCCCAGTGGTGGCTGGTTCTCCTTTGGGCTCCTCCGTAGGCCCAGTGGTGGCTGGTTCTCCTTTGGGCTCCTCCGTAGGCCCAGTGGTGGCTGGTTCTCCTTTGGGCTCCTCCGTAGGCCCAGTGGTGGCTGGTTCTCCTTTGGGCTCCTCCGTAGGCCCAGTGGTGGCTGGATCTGTATAGTGGGTCCCAGCTGAGGAGTACTTGGGTTCCGTCTTTGGAAGGTGATCCTAAAGCTGGGGATGTTGTTGGTGTGTGGTCAATCATGCAGGTTCCCCCCTGGGCTGACCTTGCTTGGAGCACTGTAGACCTGAAAGCTGAGCTCACAGCATTGAGTGGGGGCAGGGAGCTGTCAGATGTTCTGTACATTTTAGCAGAGGGTAGACTTGTCACCGTGTGCCGGAATTAGTCAGGTTTAATGTTTGTGCACAAGGCGCCTTCAACACTCAAATGTGCTTGAAAATTAATCCCACAGCAGTGCAGTTGTTTGAGCCGGCACCAGTGTATTGTCCATGGCTTCTTCTCACATGGGGTCTAGGACTTCCCCTGAAGTATTTGTTGGGAATGTCTGTCTGGTAACCAGCATTTGGGGAATCTTACAGGTCAGGGTTCCATGGCATTCAAGGGTTCCTCTAGAGGTTGTCAAATGCTTGAGAATGAACTGTAAAGAATAGTATTTATTGGCAGGGGCTCCCTGAGACCTGGAGGTACTTCTAAGGCTCCTCCTTGACTGTCCCAGAAGCCCCAATAGGCTTTAGACTCTACAGATGTTTGTTTTGTTACTGACTGGAATGATCACAATGTTGTCATGAAGATTCTTTTCCTCTTATGTACAATGTGGTTTAATTTCATGTTTTTGTCCTTCCAGATCCAGAGACAATGGGCCCGAAGGCATGGAGCCCGATGGTATCATTGAGGTAAGTGTCAGCCTTGTGATGGTCTTGCCTTCTACTTTTAGGAAAGGTTGTCTCGTAGTACATTTCCTGACTTGGTTCCCCCCCACCCACCCACCCAATAATAAAACCGTTCGGGTCACGAAGGTCATAATTAAGACATTCCTGCAGAGAATTCATGGAGAGCTTGTAACCTCAGCCGTGATGCATAGGACCCGCTGTGATCTCATAATGGGAGACGGAGCCTTTATTTAGCATTAGATCACGTATGGTGTTGGATGTTTATGGTAATGAGTCACCTGACAACCTTTGAGTAAGGGCCCATTGACACCATAACACTGTATGAGGCAATTTGTGCTTTTTCTCCTTTGTCAAATGCCTCTGCTCAGAACATGAAAACAGGTCTGTGCTGTAATACTAGTGTATGATGCAGGTACAATGTGGCACACTAAACGTGTTGAGGTGGGGCATGTGCTGCATGGAGGTTGAGGTGCATTAGGTTCAGAGGTGACTGCTTGTTTTTGGGCTCCTGTATATAGAGGGTCTCAACTTTCTAAGCAAAGGGCCAGTTTACTGTCCTTCATACTGGCCAGTGGGAGTAAAAAAAATGCCCTGGTGTAAATGGTGGCCCTTTGTTGGTATTGGGGAAAGGAATGGTGCTTTGCTATTGGGGTGTCAGTGGGAAGAATAGTTCAGTGGTGACTGTCTTTGGGGTTCTCCATGGGCTCAGTGGTGAGTGGCTCTTTGGGGTCCTCCATAGCTTCGCTAGTGATTGATGTTGGGTTCCTTCATAGGTTCAGTGGTTTCTGGTTTGGGGTTCTTCCATGGGTTCAGTGGTTTCTGGTTTGGGGTTCTTCCATGGGTTCGGAGGTTTCTGGTTTGGGGTTCTTCCATGGGTTCGGAGGTTTCTGGTTTGGGGTTCTTCCATGGGTTCGGAGGTTTCTGGTTTGGGGTTCTTCCATGGGTTCGGAGGTTTCTGGTTTGGGGTTCTTCCATGGGTTCAGTGGTTTCTGGTTTGGGGTTCTTCCATGGGTTCGGAGGTTTCTGGTTTGGGGTTCTTCCATGGGTTCGGAGGTTTCTGGTTTGGGGTTATTCCATGGGTTTGGAGGTTTCTGGTTTGGGGTTCTTCCATGGGTTCGGAGGTTTCTGGTTTGGGGTTCTTCCATGGGTTCGGAGGTTTCTGGTTTGGGGTTCTTCCATGGGTTCGGAGGTTTCTGGTTTGGGGTTCTTCCACGGATTTAGTGGTGATAGCGTCTTTGGGTTCCCCCAGGGGTTCTGTGGTAACTGCTATTTTGGGCTCCTCTATATAAGGGGTTCCCCTTTCTAAACAAAGGGGCAGTTTACTGGGAGTAAAAAAAAAATGCCCTGGTGTAAATGGTGCCCCTTTGTTGGTATTGGGGAAAGGAATGGCGCTTTGCTATTGGGTGTCAGTAGGAAGAATAGTTCAGTGGTAACTGACTCTTTGGGGTCCTCCATGGTTTCAGTGGTGACTGGCTCATTTGTTTCCTCAGTGGGTTCTATGGTGACTGGCTCTTTGGGGTCCTCCATAGCTTCGCTAGTGATTGATGTTGGGTTCCTTCATAGGTTCAGTGGTTTCTGGTTTGGGGTTCTTCCATGGGGTCAGTGGTGACTGGGGTCCTCCATGGGGTCAGTGGTGACTGGGGTCCTCCATGGGGTCAGTGGTGACTGGGGTCCTCCATGGGGTCAGTGGTGACTGGCTTTGAGCTGCTCCACAAGTTTTTACTGGTGATAGTGTGTCTCTTTGGGTTCCCCCAGAGGTTCCGTGGTAACTGCTATTTTGGGCTCCTCTATATAAGGGGGTCTCCCCTTTCTAAACAAAGTGGCAGTTTACTGGGAGTAAACAAAAATGCCCCGGTGTAAATGGTGCCCCATTGTTAGTATCAGGGTAAGGAATAGTGCCCTGCCATTGGTTGTCATGGGGAGGAATAGTAGTTACATGGTTCCTGGGTTTTTTGTGTGCCCCCCCCACTCCTTGGGGTTCTCCATACGTTCAGTAGATATGTTGTGTTGGGACATACGCTGCATTGCCCTAAGATTGTTTTGGGATTATAGTAACCACCAGCTAAACCCTTCTGTCTCCACAGAGCAATTGGAATGAGGTGGTGGACAGTTTTGACGATATGAACCTGTCAGAGTCTCTCCTGAGAGGGATTTACGCCTATGGTTTTGAGAAACCGTCTGCAATCCAGCAGCGTGCTATTCTACCTTGTATCAAGGGTAAGTGAAAACCGCCATGTTCTCTCCATGGGGGGGGGGGGGGGGGGGGGAGATGTTCTACAGAGCTATCCCATAGAACTCTCTTCTGTGTTCAGATCTATTGTGCAGCACACGGCTCTGTCCTCTTCGGGACAGGAATGGTGAGCGGTCTACAGGTAGTTCCTGGTGGGCGTAGCTCCCGATGTGTTCTGGAAGGGTGGAGCTGATTTTTGGGAGATGCATGCAGTGCAGGTCTGATTGGGTTCCCTCCTGTGGGGTGGAGATCTGAGCTTGTCTTTACAGGCGCTCTAACTAAATGGAGATGCCCACCCTTCTGCTCTAAGAGTTGTCATTGGTTTTCATCCTAATTGCACTTTCTAGGGGCATCTGAAAAGATTGAATGCTCTTGAACACTCAAAATACACCCCAATGTAAAGCTTTTGGCTGTTCTAGATGTGTGCATATGAAGGGAAGGGAGACTAAAATATGGGGGCCCTGTGTGGTCTATTGGCAGCCGTAGTAAAGTTTGTGGTATCTCTGCAGGTTACGATGTCATCGCTCAGGCTCAGTCTGGAACTGGGAAAACAGCAACATTTGCCATTTCCATCCTCCAGCAAATTGAGCTGGATATGAAGGCCACACAAGCCCTGGTCCTGGCCCCAACCCGAGAGTTGGCCCAGCAGGTGAGTACAGACTATCATAATGGGGGACGAGGTGAATGACCTACTGATGGTGATCTGCATGGTCTTGTGGCAAGGGGAGGGCTGAATGGGGCTCTTAACAAGTTTGTGGGTGGATGGCTTCCATGTGGTGGAGAGGGAATCCTGGCAGGGAACGGGTGTGAGGTACGTGGACTCCTGATGGAATGTTGAGGTGTGCAGACCATAGCAGGGTTGGTGGTGTATATAGACTCCTGTTGGTGGTGTGTGGTCCCATGGGGGTGAGGTGGATGATTTGGTGGCGGTGGGATGCATGTATCCCTGCCTGGAGTTATGGGGGGGGTAGTGAGGTGGGTGGACTTCTGACATTCTGAGCTGTGCAAGTGGGTCTTTTACAACAAGAGCTGAGCAGTCCATTGGAAAACATGAAAAGGAGCCTACAGCACTGCCTACTGGCTCAAACCAAAACTACAACTAATATACAATATTGATGGATTTAACAGACGGTGACTTGTTCTCTTCCAGATCCAGAAGGTAGTGATGGCACTGGGAGACTACATGGGCGCCTCCTGCCACGCCTGTATTGGTGGCACCAACGTGCGGGCAGAGGTACAGAAGCTGCAATCGGAAGCTCCGCACATAGTGGTCGGCACTCCAGGAAGAGTATTTGACATGTTGAACAGGCGATACCTGTGTAAGTATCCGGGGCGGTGTATTCCCTCCCTGTCACTGGGCAAGGGTGCATCACGTGATGCGAGCCTTATATCTGACAGGGGCAGAGTGACCCCCCATATTCATCCCAGCGCAGGTGTGTGGTCACTGTCAGCTGGTTCATGCTGTGGGGACAAAGCTTGTGTACCTTGACCTGTGGGGGTGTTGCTTGGTGTCAGTCTTCTTGTTAGGGGGTGGCTTGTACAGTGGCCTCCGGCATCCTCTAAATCGACTTGTGGTCCTTTCTTGCAGCTCCCAAATACATAAAGATGTTTGTTCTGGACGAGGCTGATGAAATGTTAAGCAGAGGTTTCAAGGACCAGATCTACGATATTTTCCAGAAGCTGAGCAGTAACGCTCAGGTAAGGGGGCAGCCGGATGTAGAATTGCATTGGTGTGGGGCCTGGGGGGGGGGTCTTATGATGGCCGAATGCCTGAACACTTGGTCTGGGAGGCCTCTGTGTGAGGAGTTCAAGGGTCAGCGGCATCAGAAGTCATTGACCAGAGTAGTTGCAGTAATGGGTCGTAGCTGGGAAATCCTGTGTTCTGTTGGGCTGCTTTAATGATGATATCCCATGCGTGTCATCTGAAGCCCATGTTCCCCTCTTGCGGCAGCTCTCTGCTCTGCGTCCTGCTGGCCAGAAGAGTCTGCCGCAGAGGGTTCTGGGAGATGATCACACCACCTTGTCTGAAAGCAACCTTCTCATCGATGGAATCTTGCCTTTTTGGAGAGGCCATCTCTAATTGTCTACGTTTTTGTCCAGGTGGTGCTGCTCTCGGCCACCATGCCTTCCGATGTGTTGGAGGTGACGAAAAAGTTCATGAGGGACCCGGTCCGTATCCTGGTGAAGAAAGAGGAGCTGACTCTGGAGGGTATCCGGCAGTTCTACATCAACGTGGAGCGTGAGGTGGGTGTCGCCTTATCAATAACCCTCCCCCCTTCCCTGTCACTGGGCAAGGATGCGTCACGTGATGGCGTAGATTCTTCTATCTGACAGGGGTATATAATACAACCCCATATTCATCCCAGCGCAGCCGCTCCGTCACTGTCAGCTGGTTCATGCTGTGGGGACAAATTTACCTGTTGCACACGACCCTGGGCTGGGGCTTGCTTGGCCTTGGGGACCCTGGGCTGGGGCTTGCTTGGCCTTGGGGACCCTGGGCTGGGGCTTGCTTGGCCTTGGGGACCCTGGGCTGGGGCTTGCTTGGCCTTGGGGACCCTGGGCTGGGGCTTGCTTGGCCTTGGGGACCCTGGGCTGGGGCTTGCTTGGCCTTGGGGACCCTGGGCTGGGGCTTGCTTGGCCTTGGGGACCCTGGGCTGGGGCTTGCTTGGCCTTGGGGACCCTGGGCTGGGGCTTGCTTGGCCGTGGGCACCCTGGGCTGGGGCTTGCTTGGCCGTGGGCACCCTGGGCTGGGGCTTGCTTGGCCGTGGGCACCCTGGGCTGGGGCTTGCTTGGCCGTGGATTAGTATTTGTATGATCCTCAATCATTTTCTCCCCCTCCAGGAGTGGAAGCTGGACACGCTCTGCGATCTCTACGAGACGCTCACCATCACACAGGCCGTCATCTTTATAAACACCCGCAGGAAGGTGGACTGGCTGACGGAGAAGATGCACGCACGAGACTTCACTGTGTCTGCACTGGTGAGTGTTCCAGTCTTCATACACCTCCCCCCGGGTCACTGGGCAAGGACACGTCACGTGGCGTGTGGTCTTATATCTGACAGGGGAATAGAATCCACCCACATTCATCCCAGCGCAGCTCCTGTGACTGTCGGCTGGTTCATGCTGTGGGGACACGGCCAATATCGGCCGGCTCTGTGTTCTAATAAATCGCACTTTATTTCCAGCACGGCGACATGGACCAAAAGGAGAGAGACGTCATTATGAGAGAGTTCCGATCTGGCTCCAGTCGTGTCCTTATTACTACAGATTTATTGGTGAGTATTGCCAACTGCAGCCTATCCATTCCCTAGAGCGGTGACATCACTGAGAAGGGCAGTCTATCCATTCACTAACCTCACTAAGGGCAGCCTATCCATTTCACTAAACTAGTAACCTCACTAAGTGCAGCCTATCCGTTCACTAAACTAGTAACCTCACTAAGTGCAGCCTATCCATTCACTAACCTCACTAAGTGCAGCCTATCCGTTCACTAAACTAGTAACCTCACTAAGTGCAGCCTATCCATTGAGTGTAACCTGTCCGCTCGCCCGACTGGTGACGTCGCTGAGGGGGCGGGCCTGTCCGCTCGCCCGACTGGTGACGTCGCTGAGGGGGCGGGCCTGTCCGCTCGCCCGACTGGTGACGTCGCTGAGGGGGCGGGCCTGTCCGCTCGCCCGACTGGTGACGTCGCTGAGGGGGCGGGCCTGTCCGCTCGCCCAACTGGTGACGTCGCTGAGGGGGCGGGCCTGTCCGCTCGCCCGACTGGTGACGTCGCTGAGGGGGCGGGCCTGTCCGCTCGCCCGACTGGTGACGTCGCTGAGGGGGCGGGCCTGTCCGCTCGCCCGACTGGTGACGTCGCTGAGGGGGCGGGCCTGTCCGCTCGCCCGACTGGTGACGTCGCTGAGGGGGCCGGCCTGTCCCCTCGCTTTCAAACATCACTCATCCTTGCATGCGCTTTTCTCCTGCGGCTCTGATTGGTCTGCTGAGTTAACCCCTTTGGTTCCCTCCATGCAGGCTCGAGGAATTGATGTCCAGCAGGTCTCCTTGGTCATCAACTACGACTTGCCAACCAACAGAGAGAACTATATTCACAGGTAAGCTGCCATTGATATGAATGCTGCACCCAAGGGAATTCCCTCTCTGCCCAGCCTCCATGCTGAACGCGGACAGTAGACTCTTGGAAGATGAACCTTGACCATGCTCCACCGCGATTAACGCTGCTTTGTCGCGTTTCGCAACTTAAACATGGCCTACACCGCCATCTATGTTTGGTACTTGTATAGGCTCCTCCCCCTCATGCTCCTCCATCTTTGTTTGCAGGATCGGCAGAGGCGGCCGTTTCGGTAGGAAAGGAGTCGCCATCAACATGGTGACCGAGGAAGACAAACGCACCCTGAAGGACATTGAGACTTTTTACAACACAACTGTTGAAGAGATGCCAATGAACGTGGCAGATCTCATCTGAGCCCTCCCCCGACGAGGAGATCATTAATTAAAAAAAAGAACAAAAAAATAGTATAACTGAAAATACAAAAAACACCCTTTCTGCATTTTGGTGGGGCCCCCTCCTCAGGGGGTCCCCGGGCAGGGAGGAGGCGTACAGCTTTCTATTAAGCCCCTTAACGTTTGGGCTTCCCCATCCCCCTCCTGTATGACTTAAAATGATTTATATTACTTTTTTGTTTTTTTTTTTTTGTTTTTCAAATAAATGTTATTTTGAGGTATTGTGACCGTAAAACATTTGTTTGTGTTTTTTCTGTAAACTGAACACTAACCCCTCCCCCTCCTGTACCCCAAAAAAAAAATGTTTCCCCACCAAATCAGAGGACCAAACAATCACTACCCATCCCCCCCCTCTCCTCCAATCAGGCTGCTATCAATTCGGATTTCAGAATTTTTTTTTTTTTTAAAGAAATTTTCCCCAAAGACTATAAATTGTTGCCATTTTATTTGCTTTTTCTGTATAGTATTTATTAAATAAAACAAATTTTTTTTGCAACATAGTTTGTCTCTTTTGCTTGTCCCCCCCCATTTCCCTGTCATCCCTGATTACCTCCCCCTCCAAACTAAGCAGCTGGCCCCATCCCCCGCCCTCCTTCCCCTACCTCTGTATAAGGCTGGTCTTGGTGGGAAATGCTTCATTATACATTGCAGTCAGATGTTGGCCACCATTGTGACCTCTAACAATCGAGCGGCAATGAAATCTCAGGAGTTTGTGTTCAGACGAGACCCATAGGTGTACGAAGGAACCCTCCATGCTACGTGTTCAATCTGCCTGAATGGTGTGTTCAGTTGGCATGGCAATTATGCAAGCCGTGTGCACTTTAGGGCCTTAACCTGTTGCCATCCAACGCATGTGTAGCCGTAAAAGGGGTGGACTTTAAAAAGGAAAATGGGCAGCCAATGTTTTCTGAAAGCATGCTCCATAGCAGACAGCTGTCCAAGACTGCTTGGTGTCCACTAACTCAGTAGCCGGAAACATGGCTCCTGATCATGTGACAGTTTGGTCACATCACCAATCCTTTCCTCCTCCCTGGATGTACAGACCTTACTGGAGATGCTTGTCTGGGCAGGAATGGGTTTAAAGTGAATCTAAACCAGTGTTTCTTCAGAGCTGCCATGCTCAACTGGGGGTTTCTTCAGAGCACTAGGCTTCCCCCAGAGCAGCTATGAACCAGGTTCATCCACATCTGCCATGGAACACTAGGCTTCCCCCAGAGCTGCTATGCTCAATCAGGGTTTCCGTGGAACACTAGGGTTCCCCCAGAGCAGACTTAACCAGGGTTCCTCCACAGCTGCCATGCTCAACCAGGTTTCCATGGAACACTAGGGTTCCTCCAGACCAGACTTAACCAGGGTTCCTCCACAGCTGCCATGCTCAACCAGGTTTCCATGGAACACTAGGGTTCCCCCAGAGCAGACTTAACCAGGGTTCCTCCACAGCTGCCATGGAACACTAGGCTTCCCCCAGAGCTGCCATGCTCAACCAGGTTTCCATGGAACACTAGGGTTCCCCCAGAGCAGACTTAACCAGGGTTCCTCCACAGCTGCCATGCTCAACCAGGGTTTCCATGGAACACTAGGGTTCCCCCAGAGTAGCCATGCTCAGCTATGGTTTGTCCAGAGGTTGCTAGGGGTAATACTGAACAGGCCAAATAAGTTCCTCTAAATATCCACTAGGCAGGTATCTTAGCCAGTTCTGTGCCACCCTATAGCAGAAATACTGCTACAGGGGGCATGGGTGTGCAAAATTGCATGTGTATATACATTTGATTTTGCTGTTCTGGGTAGGGGGCGCATGTGCCCTGCCTGTGCCACCATTCATGCCCTCGGCTGTCACTAGGTCCTGGCCGGTGATTGAGTATCTCCAACAGGGAGATACCTATGTGTAAACAGATCTCTCCCGTCAGCTCCTGCACACTGCTTTGTATGGCTCTGCATATCAGTGTGCTTGCAGTATAAAGCAGTTAACCCTTTGATCACCCCTCGTTATCCCCTTCCTGCCCAGTGCCATTAGTACAGTCAGTGCTTTTTATGATCACTGTATGGGTGTCAATGGGGATGTCAGGCGATCAAATACCACCAAAAGAGCTCTATTTGTGTGGGGGGAGGACATGAATTTAATTTTGGGTGCAGTGTTGCATGACTGCAATTGTCTAATGCAGCGCCGTATCACTAAAAAATATCCTGGTCAGGATGGGGGTGGGGGAGCCTCTGGAGGGCAAGTGGTTATTAGTACCAGACTGGAACTGGTAGACTTGTTGGTTTCATGCTGCTACCTTCAGGTGATGGAACGCTAACAAAAACCTTGGTAGGGCTGCTCCTAGTGGGCACTTGGATCCACACCCTCTCCGGACTACCGTGTTTTGGGGTTTTTTTTTGTGTTTTCTTTCCCCTGAGTAGTTTTTAATAGGTTCCCCCTCGGGGACTGTACCTGGACCCCACTGTGTAGGGCCAACCAGTAATGCTTGCTTTGGGCACTGGCTTGTGCTTTTAGGTGCTCAATCTTGGCATGAAGTTCGATGTGTGCTATACTGGTGGTCCATCTAGGGTTCCAAGACCCTGATGAAGCCGGGACATCTCTAATGGGCCAAGTGATGTGCATAAAGGTAACCCTGGGTTTTCCTTCATTTTGGGAACCTCTATCAATGTCTTCCAGCATTGAGTCTGAAGGTTTGTAGTATTCAGGGTTTCCCAACTTCTCTACCTTCAAGGGGTCCCTTGGAAAGCTGGTAATATAACAGTTTTTAGAGATGGAATTGTTAACTTGCTATTTAGGCTACTATCACGCTGGTCCCTTGCAAAAAATTTATTTTTATTGGGTTTTCCTATGTTTGGCAACTGGGAGAAAAAGTGACTAGAAAAATACTTGGATGTGTTTTGATGCATTTTCCATTCATTTCAATGGGAAGGTGTATTTTTGGTGCCTCACACCGAAGATGTAGGACTTGGAAAGACACAGCTAACCAGTGTGAAGAGTTCCTTTTTAGGATTTTGATTGTCATGCAGCTTTTTCTTTCCTTGGTGTTTTTAAATGCAAAAATGGGTTAGTGAGAGCCTTAAGGGTGAGGTGCAGGGGGTCAGTAGGGCATGGTAGGCAGGGGCACATTACACCTATAGGTGTCTAGAGGAATAATTCTTCCCGCTGACCACACCAACGTATCATGAGTTGTAGACGTAGTTCTTTTTAGCTGGGGTTCCTGGAGACCAGAATGTTTCAAGGGTTTTTCTGTGTTTACCTAAAATCCAGCCTTTTTTATTTTTTTGTGATGACTAGGAACATCCTGCAGGATCTTGGGGCCCTCAAAAGCAAGTGTTGGAGCTTTTCCCCTTTGCTAGGGACTTTAGTAACCAGTGGTCTATACCCATAGATGCTCCAATGAGTCCACGTCACATCTGTACCCTCAGGATTTCAGTGATGGGCAGTATATATATATATATATATATATATATATATATATATATATATATATATATATATATATATATATATATTCAGTCCTTGGATCCCAGCTTGAATTAACTGGTGTGGATCTCCACCTCCTGGTCTAAATCTGCCAGATGTCAGAACATACACTCACCGGCCACTTTATTAGATCCACCCGTTCAATTGCTTGATGACACAAATTGTTAATCACCCAATCACATGGCAGTAACTCCATGCATTTAGGTATCTAGATGTGGTGAAGACTACTTAAGTTCAAACTGAGCATCAGAATGTGGAAGATTTAGGTGACTTTGAATGTGGTATGGTTGTTGGTGCCAGACAGGGTCAGTCTGGGGATTTCAAAAACTGCTTATCAGCTAAATATCCAGTGATTGGCAGTTGTGTGGAGGAAAATGCCTTGTTGATGTCAGAGGAGAATGGGCGGACTGTTTTATGATGTTTGAGAGGCAACAGTAACTCAAATAACTTTGTTACAACCAAGGTATGCAGAATACCATCTCTGAACACAATACATCAAGCCTTGAAGCAGATGGCCTATAGCAGCAGAAGACCACACCGGGGTGTCACTCCTGTCAGCTAAGAACAGGAAATGGAGGCTACAGTTTGCACAGGCTCACCAAAATTGGACGATAGAAGATTGGAAAAACGTTGCCTGGTCTGGATTTCAGCTGGGATATTCAGATGGTAGGGTCAGACTTTGGCGTAAACATGAAAGCATGGATCCATCCTGCCTTGTATCAATGGTTCAGTCTGGTGGGGGTTCCATCCTTCCTTGTATCAATGGTTCGTGGTGGTGTCATGGTGTGGGGGATCCATCCTGCCTTGTATCAACGATTCAGGCTGGTGGTGGGGATCCATCCTGCCTTTTATCAATGGTTCAGGCTGGTGATGGTGTGGGGGATCCATCCTGCCTTGTATTCATGGTTCAGGGCTGGTGGTGGTGGTGGATCCATCCTGCCTTGTATAAACGGTTCAGGCTGGTGGTGGTGTCTCGGTGTGGGGGATCCATCCTGCTTTGTATCAACGGATCAGGATGGTGGTGTCATGGTGTGGGAGGGATCCATCCTGCCTTGTATCAACGGTTCAGGCTGGTGGTGGTGGTGTCATGGTGTGGTGGATCCATCCTGCCTTGTATAAACGGTTCAGGCTGGTGGTGTCATGGTGTGGTGGATCCATCCTGCCTTGTATCAACGGTTCAGGCTGGTGGTGGTGGTGTCATGGTGTGGTGGATCCATCCTGCCTTGTATCAACGGTTCAGGGTGGTGGTGGTGGTGTCATGGTTTGAGGGAGATTTTCTTGGCACACTTTGGGCCCATTAGTACCAATTAAGCATCGTTTGAATGCCACGGCCTACCTGCGTTTTGTTGCTGACCATGTTCATCCCTTTATGACTCCAGTTTCCCTATCTTACGATGGCTTATGAAAAGCAATAAAGTTGGTGTCTCGCATGGGACTGATGTCTGTACAGGGCACTATGGCTACATGCTTGGGACGCGGATCAACTGTCCATGGATCTT